TTCGTGATCTCTGCTCAAGCCGATTCTTTTGTCATTGACGCGTTGACAATGATGAGTACGTGTTTGCTTTTGACTTTTATATATTCTATTTTCATCCACTTATTTGGTGTATATATAACCTTAAATATTTATAGACGAAAATAAAATAAGTTCAATTGCAATTGTCGATGACGAGGGAAGGTTACTTGGAAATATTAGCATGACAGATGTTAAAGTTAATAATTAAGTGATTTTTTTATTTATTTCTTTTTTAAAGGAAGAAATGTTTTATTCACTCTCTAAAATTTATCATGACAGTATATTTTACGAAATTATAATCATTCTTTGATGTGGAGAACTTGTCAGCAATTTGTTAGCCATGTGAGAAGCAGGCAAGGATTAGAAGATGGACAGGTGATTATTATTACTTATGTGTTTTTTTTATAGCAAATTATATTGCTGTCGATTCAGTACTGATATAATTTACCATTATTATAATACAATGTATAGGATAGATATCCCGTGTTCGATGTTCGTTTAACTTCAACATTGGGATATACTATCGCTAAATTGATTGGTACATGATTTTTTTTTCCAATGACATTTCCGATCTATTTGCTGAATAACTAAAATTTCTGAAATTTCAAAATTAGCAACGAAATCACATCGTGTCTGGGTTGTAGATGAACGAACACATGCCATTGGGGTTGTAAGCTTGACCGATGTTCTTGGTGTATTCGCGCGTTCAGGTATGTAATATAGTATTATGATGAGTATCTCTCAAAACTCAATTAAACTCTTCTGTCAATTGATATAGCTGGTGCAAATCCAACACCAAAAAGGCCTGGTAGCGCTTTATTTGTCTCTACAACTTAATGGTTGGTATTTACTTTTCTCTCGCTCAAGGTTTGTTACATACAGATAGGTTAATATCCTTATAAAGACTTTCAGTTAATTTTATTTCTTGATTCGGTCATAAATCACATTTGGTAATAAAATATCGTTATGTAATTATTAAAGTGACCATGCTGATATTAGATGAAGCAATATAATTCTCAGACGCCATTAACAACTTATGATGAAGGGTGTAGTAACCGTTAATCTAAGAAATGTCCGTGTCTCTAATATTAATAATATTTCAACTATAACCAATGATTACGTAAATAATATAGTTTTTTTTTTTGAATAAACGAGTTTATTGAAATTTTTGTTTCTATTTCAAGCATAATGTATTAAGGAAAGAATTTACATATAGGTTACATAAATTTAATGTAAAAAAAAGTTATTTAATGCATAAGATGATACTTTCTCATAATATTAAATAAATAAATATTTAAGACCTTATTGAATGTAACCATATTAGTTATTTGAAATTAAAGCCAATATTAAAAGAGTCTTTATATATAGTACAGTACAGTATATTAATTATAATAAATAATATATTGCAGTTATTTGCTTAAGAAATACAAAAAACAATTTTTTAAAAATATTTTAATAAATAAATTTCTGATATTAATAATATGTTAATTAAAAATTTTAAAATTAGATTTCATAAAAAAGTTTTTTGATTTGTTTTTAAATAATTATAATCATATTTTAATTATAAATCATAAACCTTTTTAAAATCGTTGCTTTAAATATATGCTTATATGCTTAAATTATTATATTAATAATTATAAAATAAAAATAAATATTTTAAAAAAATCAAATAAAATTAAAACCAGAAATTTAAAATAAATTCAATTCTGTTTTATCAATTTAATTAATTTAATTTAATTATAATTATTAATTATTAATTTTTTTTTCTATAATCAAACAAGTATTTATTATGTTATTTAATTTTTTTAAAAAAATATAATTGTAATTTTACTTGTATATATTTAATTTTAATTTATAAATTTTAATATACAGTGCTGGTCATAAGTAACTGTATACCTTTTAAAAATTCAAATCTAATCCAATTGTTTTAAAAATATTAGGACAAATAGTTTATCACAATTCCTGATCCTCCAAAATTTTTCAGATTTTTGTGATTGCTAGAACAAAATTTAG